AGAAGTCTACATGTACTGTATGTAGAGCTCAGAAAACACGAGTTTTAGCGCAAGAACAAAAGTACGATGTAACTGTATATTACCAGGAGGAACACAATGGAGTCATATGTACGTTTATTTTTATCTTGTTATAATGATTGTAAACCAATTATTACATCACTACAGTAACTTGTTTTCAAGTAGTTTTATATCAATGTAATGTGATGTTTGTACACCTGCTGCAGTGTTGTTGGAGAATTAATTAATGAATTAACATCAAAATGTGACAAAGCGACACATTGCACAAACTCATTGCTAGGTTGGCGTGACCTGTTTGCTCAATGCAATGCACCAACAATGTTTTAAAATCATGAACACATACCAAAACGGTGGCGTTCCTTTAAGCAATGTCCCTTAGTAATAATTAATGTACTATATATTTATTGTTAGCACTTACAGGAAGACACATTAGTGTAATAGAAAAAAGGGTCTGATACCTCTGGCTTGTGCTAAAGTGTTTTTTGATGCAACTGAACGTTGAATGAATGCCAAACAGGGGGAATACTTATAGGTGAATCCAATCAAAATGTCTATGTCAGTGGACTGAAGAAGGACAACTGTAGCAGACATACGTAGTATTCTAGATCTAAATATCCCCTAGCGGCAGTGGTTCCCAACCTGAGGGGCGGTCCCCCTTGGGGGGACGCCAAAGACCTGCAGATGATTTGAGGCCAAAATCATATTTAGACTTTTTTTTTTTTACATATAATTTGTGAAGGCAATACATGATGTCCACTAAAAGCCTTGTCTCTTACATTACAATACAAAATAAAAATATTGGCTAATTAATTTTAATAAAAATTCAAAGTTTAGTATTAAAGGCATAAAAAGACAGAAATGTAATTCTTTCTTAATATAAAATGTTTCTTCTGCCCATAAATTGTCCAAAACCAGGCTTGTCTGGATAAGCGCCATTTTTAAAAACATAGTCATTGTCCATGCCGGTGTTCAGTTGGATTTATTCTGTCACAGTTGCTCCAATCAGAGGTCTCTTCCATTTGTAGATTATTTACGATTTTTTAATCTCCACATAAACACATCGGAAAAATCCGGCTTACTTTGAGCATGTGTTTAAACAGTTAGATCTTATGTGTTTCCATTCCCAGCCGTCCTTGTAATTTCTTCATAAAGCGGAATTCCAAATAAATTAATCCTGAGTCCAATAACCATCAAAGTCACTCCAATAGTGCTCCTTAATTAGACGCTTTCATGTCCTTTAACAAAATACTCACATTCATACCAGTTGTGGACAGTAGTTATAGCATTTTTGAGACTTTTAAACCATAATTAGGAAAACCGTGTTGCGCGCCCCCCCCCCCCCCTCCCCCCTTGTGTGTGTTGGGGGGGCGCAACTTCCAAAAGGAGTCATTTGGAGGGGCTCTTGGGAAAAAAGGTTGGGAACCCCTGTCCTAGTGAAAAAGTGTTGCTTGTTTGTTGGTGATAAAGCTTATACTGCTGGCTCGTGCTTGTTTTGAACCAGCCTTTAATTATGCTGCTGTAAACTTATACTGTCGGGGTACCTACACTTTTCAGCTTTCATTTTTCACATCTCATCTCCTAATTTTCTTTCTCTTGTCTTTATGAACTCATGTCCTCTCTATGGCTTGGCACCACGTCCCATAAATATATCTTACTTACTCAGCATCTGCCGTCATTCGATACTGGGTGATATAAATAGAATTTAAATAGAGTGGTTGTTTGTTGTACTGGACAATTGTATGCAGTATTATTAATAAAATGTGGTGGGAGTATATATAAAATGTATTCAATATAATGCTTAATTTTAAAACGAGACATTAGTGTTAATTTCGTTGACTAAAACTATGACGAAATATGTTCGTCAACGACCTTTTTTTCCATGACTAAACGAGACGATGACAAGACGGCACCGACGGCAGTAAACAATAACTGTAACGAAATCAACATGCAATAATATCGTTGGTGAAAAGTGACGAGACGAAAATGTAGTTTACTAAATAACAACTATGCCAAAATCTCTTTACTTTTGCTGACGAAAAATTATCAAAGATAACGTAACATCCCCCCCCCCTAATAATGGATTATGACGGAAATGTTACGACCCTGTCTGTCAAAATGACTGACAACGAAAAAGTCTAAGGCCACCACTGCTCGGGAGAAAGAAACAATGTGATATTTGGGCCCATTTTCGCTACAATGAGGCGGAGAAAAAAAGGAATGCATTGTTTTATCAGAAGGGAAGCAATGTGGTCATAACACAGCTGGTAAAAACACCACAAACCTGACCAGATACTCTCTGCAAAGCTGCGCGCGGCGGTACATTTGAATTACACCGGGCCAGCGGCACACTGTGAACTGTCAGGAAGACTCGGGTATAACGAACCTTATTTAACAGAAAGGAAAATGGCAACAACAGGGCTTGGGAGCAGTGGTCGCGTTAAACGGATATTATTGGTTTTGGCTAAACTAGTTTGACTGAAAGTTCTATATAATCTGATGACTAAAAATCATCAAATGTCAACAGTTTTTTTCATTGACAAAAGCAAACTTAAATAGTTAGTTGTCTTTGACTAAAATAAGACTAAAATGCTCAAACTTTTAGTCGACTAAAACTTGACTAAATAAAAACAGGATGAAGGTGAATAAATATGACTAAAACTAAAAAGGAAATTTAACACAGGACTAAGACTAAAACTAAATGAAAAAATAGCTGACGAAATTAACACCACTAGACATTGAGTGTATTGTAAAAATAAGGCCTCGAGATCAGCCAGAAATATAGAGGCCTTATAGGGAATAAACAGACCCTGAGTTTCTATAAATAATCAAATCAGGAGACAGTTGGTCCATCTATGGGAACCTCTTTAGGTTTCAGAAATAACCGGAGTAGTGAACTGAGTGTCTGTGGAGTCAGCAAATAAGGCAATGCAATACTGAACGCGACACCATTAGAAGGTGCTAGCAAAAGCTATTTTGAGGGGAAATTGGGGAGGAAATTCCCTCCCCCAAAATTCCAACCAATGGGACATGAGTTTGTAGAGTATAAGAGTGCATTACAACGACAGACTGGTTCCATTGCACAGCGCTCTGGATTTCTTTTGAAGACTCGGCTCATAAGTGTTTGAGTTAAAGTGCTTGTGAGGTGGTCATGATTTTCTCAACTGGCTCGGTGCAATACATTTTCCTTCAACAGTGTCTGTTGTGCACATTTATGACTGTTAGAGGAGTTTTACACATTAGGGTTGTACCTGACTTGGTAGTGCCTTCAATCTGTGAGGAGTAGATGGCGCTGCAAGTGTTGCCAGGAGCAGCTTTGAGGGTGAACACTCCATGTTTATCCAGCATGTCAATCTGTACCTACACAACACACAGAGCAACAAAGCACCTTTAGTGACGAAAATCCGCCCTTACGTCATGATTGAATCTATAATAAAATAAAAGGAATAGGCCTTTTCCCACCTGTGCTGGAACATTTCCGTCATTGAGCAGCACCAGGGGCCGGGTATGTCGCCGCCCTGCTGATACTCGTGTGAACTGCAGCCTCGGGCTCCCTCTGCTAGTCCTTAGAACCGGACGCACCACACACACACTGGGCATATTCCCCTCTCCCATTAGGTCAAACTCCAGCACCTTGCTCTTGAATGTAGGTGTCATTCTGGATCCAAAAGAGAAAAGAAATGGGTGGGCAAATTTCCAGATTTCTTAGTGGATGTTTCAGACCATACTTAACATCTGAGATTTAACAGCTTGATTAGTATCGTGTTATTAAATAGTGTTTAAATATAATGGTAACAAGTACATTATGACTATGTACTGTAGCATTTACAAGCCCCTAGGAAGTAGGGCGGTGTTAAAGCAACTATTTCAAGTGGCCGAATGTTAATACTACAACTTCAGTGTCAGTCTGTGATGCCATTTCACCCCCAAAAATATGTTTTACCATTGACTTAAATTGGAAAAATCTCTACATTCAGAGGTGATATTCAAACAACTATAAAGGAAACAAATAGACCATATAGTCATAAAAGACATATCATTTACATACTCTCTTTTCAAGACCGGGAAATGTGTCAAATTCTATACTTTCCAGACTACGTATAATGTAGGAACCCTGGCTGTGGTCAGCAATGCAATTCTAACAGCATAGAGGCACCGTTCTTTACTATTTGACAGCTTTTTGTATATTATTATTTGTTTGTCTGTCTGTTTTTCCTTTGTGTGTCATTTAGTAGCTCCGGTTTGTAGCAATATTTCAAATGTTGCTTTTTTAAATTGTCTTTCACCGTGAATTTTAGAATTATTACTTTTGATGACCTCTGATGTAACAACTGTATGCTATTGCAAAACCCAATAAACAAAGTTGAATAAAAAACAAATAGCAAAGAGAAGAAGCATACACAGTTGTAACTCATGTACCTGCTGGTTACATCCATCGTGGCCTCGAACACAGCACTGTAGAGCTGCATGGCCTGAGGTGTGAAGGTGACCACGGCGAACACGTGGGACTGTTCAGGAATGCTCAGTGTCGTAGCAGACAAATCAAAAACATCCGCTCCACGAGACGGCTGTGAGGAAATACAACGTATGTTTGACATGCTAACAACCATCTTCCACAATCATGTAAACTGCATTTATCCACAATGCCTTACCTTAGCGCCAACATATTTGATGGCCAAGCTGAGCGCACAGGGCACCTTGCTGTTGTTGGTGAGTTTGAAGCGGGCCTTGGCAGTGCGCCCGACCAGGGCTTTGTTGAAAACAAACTTGTTCTCGTCCTGGACGTAAATTCCTTCAGCATTGCAGAACTGCTCTGAGGAGAGCTGACTGCTGTTGTTACACAGATGGTGCTCCTCAAAGATGGAAGCCATGTCCAACGATATACCTGGGAAACAAACACAAAAGGACAAAAGAGAGTCAGATTAGTCAAAGGAAAAGCACTTGGTGAAGATGATAAAGCACTTGTATCCATAATATAGCACTTTTTCCTTTTGTACATTCTTAATACTATGTTCACAGAGCTCTCACCTGGCTTGCAGACCTCAGCCAGCAGTTTGTAAGGAATGCCATCAGGGTGGTCTAAGGGGTCACGGTCACTGATGTCAATAAGCAAATCCTGGTTCCAGCTGCCAAGCTGATCAGAAACACATTCCACTGTCACCACCTGCTGAGACCCTGGATTCAAGCTGCCATTACAGGGGGACACAGAGAACACCCCAATGGTGAGGCGATTCTAGAGGGACACAAAATCAGGGAGGTACAGATCAGAGTACTGGGAGAACACTGACATAATCGATTGAATGGATGGAAGGTGTCAGCTTTGTCATACGTTTCTGTTGCTCTGCTATTTGAACATGAAAATTGCATAAAAGAACATAACCAGTTGTATTATATTCTGAATAAACATTGCTAACCTGAACCTCCAAACCGTTGTTAGCATCAGAGCACTCTTTTTTTTTGTATTTATCTATCATAGAATTTGTATTATTTTGACAGGTTAGATTAACAGCGGCCCAATAACAAATGTGTTAGACAAGTTAGAGTGCTACTGTAAAACATGTTTCCCTACTCCTATATAAGAAGTAGACATAGTCAATAGTCATGTCATCTGTTGATGGGGACTTCAGCACAATGAGACACTGAATAAGCTAAGTATAACAAATGACATGCTGTAATGAAGAAGACTTGAAACTAGCAGTTGAGACAATAAGCCTAAGTTTCCTAAAGTAATACATGAAGTGAGAAGTAGTGTAACTTTCTGATAGACTTTATATAAAACCATACTTATTTTGCTGCTCACTAGAAAGAAGGCAGTTTTGAAACCATTACACATTAGCTTCACTTTTCAGAACCCGAGTTTGACATCTGGTTTTACTTTAGCAAATGTGTAAAGAACAGCAAAGAAGCTAACACTATGTGTGATCAATCAATACAACATATCATTATGACTGTTCATGGTTTTGTTTTGTTTGTTTGATTCATTTCAAAATGCATGGCCAGTCTAGATAGGAATAGGGTCAAGTGATAAAATAAGCTTTTTTGTGAAATTTGCTGTACATATAGTATATATAATATATCTTGAGAAAAAAAATCCCAAATATGTAGGAAAGATGGTAAGGACTTTTCCATGAGCCACATTTAGAAATAAATAAAGAGGACAGTCCAACAAAACAAAACCTGCATAAATAAACAGGCACTTTCATTCTTATCATTTACTTGTGATTTCTCACCTGTGTAATACTCAAGTCTCTCTGAATGGACTCACGTCTCACTTTGCTAGTGGCACCAGTGGCTCTCTCTGATTGGCTCTTCTTACCGGGACCCCTGAGATAAGTACACAGGGACACAAACCATCATTTATTTTGAACATCATTCGGAAAATTATATTGGAAAAGGACTATGAGAGTTTTTAGACATTCTGTCATCCTTCCTTCTCAGTGGGTGAATAGGCAACTTTGAATGTGTTTCACCTCCACAACTTTGGACTTCAAAGCACATTTCCTCCGGTCAAGGCAATAGAACATTTGCATGGATTGGCAACACAATAATGCTTCAATTAAACTTTTGTACATTTGTAAGGTGTATTACACTCCAATATCAGATTTGTCACAAACAGATGGTTCAATTTGTTCGTACCTCATCAATAAACACTGAGCACCTGCACTGAGCTACTACTTTTACAATTGGGTTACTTTGAAATGTGGCATTTGGCATTTGAGAGCACATCTTCAGAAAATACAGTTCCATTCCAATTGAGTTTTTCTGAAATAGTGTTAACCCTTGCGCCTCTGTGTACATGTTTCTGTGTTCGTTGTCTCGTCCTACCCTTGCTTTCCCGGTGAGGTGGCGTCTGTGATCAAGTGGCATACACTGTAACGGGTCTCAAAGGTTCCGTTGTTCTCAATGGTGAAGCTCTCACTTTTCTTGTAGCCGTAGACCAGAGGACCAAAGTTGATGTCACAGGCAGGTGTGATCTTGTACCTAAAAACCCACACAGTCATTAATAATGTGTGTTTCGGCTTAGAAATAATCACCCTTGCAGACACAATGTACTGTAGGGCAACAAATGTACTAACTGACATCAAAACTGATATCATATTGGGGCCTTTTATTTAGAAAAGATTATTACACAGCGATAAACTTTCAAAATAAAAGTTGTACACTTACAACAAGAACATCTGAATTTCTCTTCCTAACTGACATTGTTCGAAGTGCTATAAGAAGACATTGCATATCTCTAAATATTTAAGGTAAACATGTTTGAGCTTGTGTTTGTATGCAGTCACAGGTGTTCCCATACATTTGTGACTTTAATCTTTCCTTCTTTTCAATAGAAATTCTAACATATTTTCCTCGCAAATTATTATAAATCGTATGCCTTGATAATTTCAGTTAATACTTAAGTTTGTTCTTATACATTTGTTAGTTTTAGTTTTATAAAAGTCACCTTTTTAATAAAACATAATATCAGAATAATTTGTTCTAGTCAATGCAGTCTTTTGTCTGACTTGCTTATAACAATACTAAGAACAATTAATTACTAATAAATACAGCTCTGGAAAAAATAAAGAGACCACTGAAGTATTATCAGCTGGTTTTAATATGTATAGGTATGTGTTTGAGTAAAATTATTTTATTATATAAACTACTGACAACATTTCTCTGTGTTGGAATTCAACAGACACTAGAATGGAATGGCTGCCATACAGGCAGAGATTCAGATTCAAGAACAAATTGGAGTGGTCTCTAAAAATAAATCCTGAGATGTATTACTCAAAATAGAATGAATAAAGCCTTTACCTGGAGAAGACCGACTTGACTGAAATGTTGATGGTTAGTGTGGCGACGACTTCTCCATTCCCAATGTTGGGTTCAATCAACTGTAGAAGAAGAAACCCAAATCTGAGCATGAGTGAGAGACAGGAAATTGGGCACAACCCTTTTGTCTTGTACTAAAATTGTAAGGCTGTGTTCCAAAGAAAGCTATGTTACAAGATCATACTTCAATGTGTAAAGTTAACGTTCCACATCTGTAATCGTTAAGACTTCTTATTAAAGCTCTGACCTGGCAGAGCAGGATAGGCCGCTCTATCATTGAGATTTCTGTATTGGCTTTGCAGAGGATCTGCACTGTGGTGGGCTTCTCGTGGGGCATTAGAGTACCACTCCAAGGGGACAACGTGAAAATGGATTCCAGGTTTGGCTGGGGTAGGTCAGTCTGCTGAAGTGTTAACCTTGTGGAAAAAGAAGAATGCAAATAAGCAACTTTACTAGTTTCATGGTGAGATGAAATGTAGTAATATGAAACTGGGACTGATCATACACATTTAAGTAGCACATTATACTGACTTGTAGGCTGTTTCATATTTCCCTTGGTTTTTCAACCTGAGAGACATTTTGCCCTCTTCAAAAACTTTGATGGTTCCAAAGTCAAGACAGCCATCTGCTACAGAAACAAAAGCAGTAGTATAGTTTTAAAAATAATTTATATTACATTATACTTTAAAAGGATTGACTAAACCATAAAAGTGGGTAATGTACAGTAGATGCATTCTGTAACATGTTTAAATGGTAAGGAGTCCGCTTGTTCTTGTTCGTTTACATTGAAATGAAAACAATGTATTGAGCTGTGATGTACTAGATAGTTTTAATCTAGGATCCTGAGATCGACTGCTTTTGTCTTCAAGCCTCATATCTGGGGATTTGCAGTATCTTCAAAATGTTGAGGAAACATCACTTTCAGTCTTTTGATTATACCTCCCCATTTATTGAGTTTCTTTGACATTATGAGTGAGGTGAGTCTTGCCGGCTTTAGTAAAGTGTGTGTGTTAGCATGTGAATGCGCATGTAAGCAAGCTATCCTAAACAAACACTGCGGAGGTAAGCATCATTGCCATTTTGTGTTATATTATTGTATACATATTGTTTGTTCTGCTATCTTTATACCCTAAACCCTAATGTATCATATCAAGAAACACATATTAAGTTTGACCTGTACATGAAATGTTTGTAAGTTCTTCCAGTTTGTACCAGGTATGATTTCCAGAGCGACATCGTAGGCTTCAGCTGTGACCTGTATGTTTTCTGTTTGCATGACGCCTAAAATCTTCTCCACATCTGATACCTGAAACAAAACAGACAGAGCATCTTTGACATTTGAAGGGGCTTTCCTAAATTGCAAATTGAGTGTAGTTTAATTCCATACTGTATTACAAAATTAAGACTACCTCCAAACGTAGGATCTTCTTTATGTGGAGTGGCTTTTTGGCCCTGAAGTGCAAGCTCAGGAGGAAAGAGGAGTTAGCTGAGATGACGCCTTGATCCTGTGGCAAACTGAACTCATCTCCCAACTCGTCCACACCCTGCAGCTTCCAAGACACCGGCAGGGCCGTCTTATTATGCAGCGTCACACTACAGCTGTTACGCCTTGAGAGAAGGGTGGAAGAAGGTTGGTTGACAGAAAGAAAAGGGACAGAGGGATAAACAGGTTAGTTTAAGAATTATGCTGTGTCCCGATTTATGATCATTTATGAAGTGCATACATTTGTAATGTATAGTATCATTGACTAAAAATAAAAAATAAAAAAATAAAACTATAGCTAGCTAGCTGTCAACGAACTTCCACAGGAAGAGCGCCGGCCATTGAAGCACATTTCCGTAGTGACCAAACGGTGGTACTACACTTACGTTCTAGTCCGTGATGTCATTTGGGCCCAAAAATATATATTGGAAAAGGGTTGTTTATTGTAATTAAATAAACAACCCAGTATGAACACTTGTATAGCCCTTATTTGGTTTAAAAGTTGTAAAATTTGCTAAAAGCCAAATTCAGAGCTCCTTCTCTCTCCATTCATTAGACTGAGCCAAGAGTGTGATCTTGGAGGCGGGGCTCATTTGCACATGCTCTATGGGCCCAGATACGGGTACTTTTTTTAAATCAACAATTGCTCCCTTTTGGTTTCATGCGCCACTGAGAATCTCTTATAGGACTGAAGGTGTTAAAAATAGGAGTCGGGGACCCTATCGGAAAAGAGAAAAACGAAGAATAGGGCAAGATAATTGTGTAAAGAGCAAAGGATCATATAAATGATATATTACAATTTTGCCCATGGTTTAGGTGTACGGGACCCTAAGAAGTGTTCAAAAATACATAGGAGTCGGGGACCCTACCGAAGTGTTAAAAATAGGAGTCGGGGACCCTATCGGAAAAGAGAAAAACGAAGAATAGGGCAAGAAATTAGTGTAAAGAGCAACGGATCATATTTTAAACTGCACTGTATGATTCATGTACTTTTTCTTTTTTACTGTTTACTGTATTTTATTATCTTTGCTTTTTAATGACTGTTTTTAAATGCCATTTTCTGAATGTCTTTCATTTTTGTAAAGCACTTTGAATTGCCTTGTGTTGAAAGGTGCTATATAAATAAACTTGCCATGCCTTGCCTTGCCTTGAAGGGGACCAATCCTTATGTAGTTTCAATTTCTCTTTTACATTCATGCTCAAAGTGCATTATGCCATATTGCATACTGGGAGGCAATCATGCACAGAATAGCCAATGTATGTACAGAAGTATGCGTTTTGATCTTGTTTTAGTTAATGTGTTGACTTTATCATTCTGCTTCTGTCTTTGGACTGGTATCACATGTACTTTGTGAAAAATACTAAAATCAAGCTATTTTAGAAGAACACTGTGGAATCCATCCCTGAATTCTATATTGTGTTACCTGTGCAGCATAGTCCTGTTACAGTGCAAATGCTTGCTTTCCAGCTCCAGCTCTGGCCGCACGCCCCAGCAGGAGATGTTGATGATGACAGGCTCTGGATTGTCTTTGATTTGGCAAATTATACTGTCTTTCATTTGTCCAATGTTTGTTGGGTAGGCCCACACTGTCAATTCCTAGCACGAAAAAAGTAACATTTCCACAGGAACATTTCATTAATTAACAACAAAATACTCTCAATCTGACTCCTTGTGCTTTTTTTGGTAACACATTATCACTCAGGTAAGATCTGTGTGGTACCTGTTTCTGGTCAGGTTTGAGAGTCATTGTCGGGGGGTGCAGCAGATATGTGGCAGCCTGGGTGTCGTGCTGGAAACTGAACTGGACCTCAGCCTCTAGGCCTGAAGTGTTTTGAATCACTAGTCTCTCTGTGTTCTCAGGGTACCTACTTTCCTTGTATCTACACAAGCAGAGACACATTTCAATTTGTTAGCATCAATTCAAAGACGGATTCAAACACTAAGCCATTCACTACCACTCACCTGTCTCTGGTCTTTCCACAGAGTAACGGTCCAAACTCAAAGCACCCAGGTTTGATTGCGTAAGTCTTTTCGAGCCCCTTTTCCATTTGTGATACCTTCTTACTGAAAGCAAAAAGAGTCCTGGGGAAAGCACAGACGATAACTGTGAGTTCTTGCAGTCAACAATAACTTGAGTTTTTTTAACTGTATTGTAATTTATTACATCAAAGAAGTAACATTTTTCGGGTAGGTTTTCTGTTTTTCTTTTTTACTGAAAAACTACTGGTCCTATGTTCATGTACCCTGTGTGAGGATCCACAGTACTGCCTCCCTGTTTTCCCTGCGTGTCTGTCTCTCTGTGGGTGTGTGTGTCTGTCTCTCCGGCTGGGCGTTGCTGACCTACTTTTGGATTACCGCCTCTACACCTCTCCAGCTGCTGCTCATTTCACTGATTGCCACAACTCACCTGCACCTGTATAAAAGCCCGGTCATCACCTCCAGTCTTCGCCAGTTCGTCAGATATCCACTAAACGGCACCGGCTAAACTTAGCTCTTTAGTGAGGCCCTTGTGAGTTATTTGCACCTGACTAATTGTTTCTTTACCTGTTCAGATCACCCACCAACTCAACAGCCTGCCACCACCGTGTTTTCACCTCAGCTCCACACCTCTTGGCTCGCTTTCCCTGCTCCCTGGATTCTCCCTGGATTCCCCGGTCCACCTGTTCCCTTCCTCACCACCCCAACTCCAACATCTGTGCAATAAAGGTCCCTGTTTTCTGCAGTTTCTGTCTCCTGTCTCAGTGTTTGCATTGTGGGTTCAGTCTAGCAGCTCCCTGTGAGCATAACACCTTGTTACATGGGGGCGGTATTTCCCAAGAAAAAAAATGCAGATCCAGATTATTTTTACTTTTATTAACATTGCGAGACAGAGCATTTGTGCTGCATGTATGTGGCGTACCAATAAATGTGTTCCTGCCTGAGAAAATGCATGTGAGCTCAAGCCAGAAATTATATTCTTTTGTACGGGCTATTTTTTTTTTCAAATCATGACTAAAAGCCTACAAACAAACTGAAGTACAAAATAATCCCAACTGGTGAACAGCAGAGCAGCATGTCAACTCACCTCTGAATTCTGTTCTTGTGTTATTATTTATAATTAAATGTTTTTTGTGGTATCTGTAATAACCCCTCTTTTCTCTCCCTTCCCCTTTCTTTACCGTAATACTGCATTAAGTTATTAAACATTGCTGACTGACGTGTGGTCTTTGCAGATGGAGGGATAGGTGCAAATCCCCGTGCAGAGGAGCTGGTAGAGTCTCTGGGTCCCCAGCAGCTCAAAGTTGAAGGTCTGTTCAAATGTCTCTGGGGATTCTGAGTAAAACCAAATCTTCAGAACCACCTCACTGTTGGCTGGTACAACCCAGCGAAAATGTGTCAGGCTACACACACAAAAAAAAAAACAGTTAGTTAAAGAACAAACACAAAGTAAAGAAACAGAATGTGTTTTCATTCAGAGAGTCTGTGTGTATTTGCCTCTGGCTGCGTTTCAGCTCTAAGTTTCCTTGGTGTAGGTCTTGTTCGCTGCAGTCCAGTGAGTCGCGTGCAGATGTGCGAGAAATGACCGGGACCTTTGTTTTTGTCTTGGCTGAAGTTTGTCTCTTGCTCTTTTGACTCTTTTTGTCCTTTGTTACTGCACCCTCCTTAGTGCTGCCTTTGCTGCGACCTTTGGAATGTGTTGCCTCTTCCTTTAAAGTGCACCAAAAAAAAAAAGGATATTATATTCGGAATATTTATATATGTTTTAACAATAGTTTGTACTTTTGATGTATTGACTGTTATGACTTTGCATCATAAACCTGTGTGACATTATAAAGATGATTGGTAGCTTGTATTTCGTAGCAGGGAAATTCACAGCACTATTTTTTTTTTTGCTTCCTGACATAAAAGGATGTGTGTTTCGAACAAGATGGACACTTCCAAGTTGTTAAATTGTGCACTTTGTTTGTTTATTCATGTGGTGTATATGTACGGTTACCTTTACAACTGATGCATGTAAATCTTCCTCTGAGTCTTTCTTCTCCTCATCCTGTTCCTCCTGCCCTGAGGGAACCAGGAAGGTGAAACGGCTGCAGGTGACTTTACTCATAGATTGCTCTCTGCTTTTGGGAAAAGGAACCACAGAGAAAGTGGCGGGGGGAGGGATGGGTGGGCCGCTGGGTCCCAACCCCAGATCATCCAAAACCTTACCATTCAAAAGGAGAAAGGAAATAAAACCATTAGGAAAAGTAATAAACTATTAAAAAGAAGCTGTAACTTATACTATAACAGAAAGAGAAAACTACCTGGACCAGCTGAGGCAGGGTGCTGCCTTTGAGCAGCTCAGTGGCACTCGGAGAGTCTTTCCCCGTTACATTCAGCACGATGTGAGGGATGATTTCCTGTGGGGACACCTTGTCTGCTTCAGCTGGTGCAGCTATTTGACTCAGTATCGGAGACATAATCTTGCTGTGGGCCTTCTTGTTCTTCCTGCCAACAGGGGTCTGTGCACACATGGGGGAAAGAGTGATCAGGTGTCCCGCAATTTGACATAATGTCCCATATTTGATTGATAGATGCCCCTCTACAACTTGGCTTTTAACCAATGGGTCTGTAGAAAGGAAGAGAGAGGTTTATACGATACGATATACTTTATTGTCACCGTAAGTAAATTAGTTTTGGACTCTGTTACGTGCCAGGCAGGCTTTACTTGTTTTGTTTTCCTTCCCTCCTGCTCTTTTCTCTCCTCCCTGTTTTTCTCTACAGCTAATCAGCAGCTGATCAGTACCTGCCTGGGCACCTGAGACTCACGGCTGATTGGCTCCTCTCACCCTCTGCTGGCCCCTATCAGCAGCCAGGGCCGGTCATAAAGGAGGCACCTAGGAAGCCTTCTCTCTCTCTCACCCTGGGTCTGCTGCTGACTGAAGAGCCTCTGTATGAGTGTTTGTTAAGTTGCTGATTTCTACTGTGGACCCTGTTTTCTGACCTTTGTGAATGTGTGTGTGGTGGGAGGTGGAGGAGTTAGGTAAGTTTGGGGTACCCTTTACATCTCATCACGTAGGTAACATACAGTAGGTAACGCACTAGGTTAGTGGATTGTTGCCACCCCTGTATTTTGCTTTGTCCAATTATTAGTAGTTCAGATAGTGAGGGTTTTTGTTTGAGTTTTGGTTTCAGAGGATATATTTAGAGATAGGCCTGGTTTTGTTATATTTATTGATTTTGTTTGGCAAAATCTCCTTTGTCTCCTCCTCCTCCTTTACATTACATTACATTGCATTTAGCTGACGCTTTTATCCAAAGCGACTTACAATAAGTGCATTCGACCAGGAAGATACAAACTTGAAGAAAACAGAATCATATAAGTACATCAGGTTTCATAGAGCCAAACATTTCAAGTGCTACTCAACTGGCTTTAGATAAGCCAGTCCTTTATTAGTATATAAGTGCTTTGTTAATAGTTCTATCACTCGAAGTGGAGTCGAAAGAGATGAGTTTTCAGTCTGCGCCGGAAGATGTGCAAGCTATCTGCTGTCCTGATTTCATTGGGGACCCCAATGAAATCAGGACAGCAGATAGCTTGCACATCTTCCGGCGCAGACTGAAAACTCATCTCTTTCGACTCCACTTCGAGTGATAGAACTATTAACANGTGTGCCTTGGCAGTCTCAGGATCAGACGAGATCTCTCTCCCCCCGTCTGTGTGCGAGGGGCGGGGCAGTTTACACACATGCGCTGCTACATGCAGCAACACACTGCGGAGATGGCGGAGAGAACGCGCTCCGAGGTGTGGTTAAACTTTACCCGTCTCGATGTGAACAAAGCTCGTTGCCAAAGGTGCAATAAGAGTTTAGCATGTAAGGGCGGTAACACGAGCAATTTGTTTAAACATTTAGCAAAAGCGCACCACATTCAGACGGAGAAATGCACCGGGTTCGACTGTCTTTCTAGTAGCTCTGTAGCCCCATCCACGAGTAACTTTTCCACGTCAGGTATGTTATGTTTATTGTCTACCTCAATCTTCCTCCAGAAGAACCGTTGCAGCATACCTGTCTGCCCCACCTGTGTTGCTCTGTACCACTGTATTTTTGCAGTAAATACTTGTTTTTTGTTTGTTTTTTACAGTTCTGTAAGTTCACATTATTTACAATTTGTTTAGTTAATTTACCTTTTTTTTTTTTTAAAAGAACCGATAAGAGTACCGTTAAAGGACCGGATCGATAAGCGTTATCGATAAAAGTAGTAGTAACGTTAAAGCCTTAACGATACCCATCCCTAATTTTAGGTTATCTTTTCAGTACAGGATAATAAGAGCTAGGAGGCTTACCTTGAAAATGTAATTTGTTCTCTCTGATATCTGTATTTATAGTCTAATGATATTTAATATTAAGTAGGCCAACTGTATGTGTGTGATTGGATCTCAGAGTGCAGACACTGCAGAGATGAAGAGGCTGAAAGAAGAAAAAGAGTTGAAGAAAAATAAAAAGGTGGGAGAGCGAGATAATAAAGTGTCTGGTGGGAAGGAGGTCAGTATACACCACCTTCAGTGATTTAACTGTATACTGTACATCTCAACCAGATTCCACACAATCACATACACTGTTTGCCAATCGGTTAGTATTTCAATATTCTATTCCATTTTTTTCTCCAGTCGACCCTGATGGATGTTCCTCTGATGTCTAAAGAGACGCTGGTGGATGCAAAAGAGCAACCTCAGCTAAATGAAGGTGCCAGCAAATGTAAGGAATCCAGAATAGTTTAAGCTCACAGCTTACTTACAAGGCTTACACTTTTATAAACAAACACGAAAGCTCTCTAAACACAAGATTGACTCCTGATATCCTGTTGTCTAACTAATTAATAACCATAAGTTGAGGATATCTTTTATCATCAATGTCCAGCCTCGCTGAAACAGTATCCTGCTTATTACACAGCTATTTACAAAATACAAAAACTGCCGAATTGACTCACAATTTTGATGTCAAAAAATTACATTAAGACAATTATTGGGGAAATAATCGTATTGCTTTCGCTAAGGAAAAATAACTGCAAAGCAACGGCTAGATCTGCGGCGGCAGGAACATAACTCAAAATGACGGCAGCAGTGATCTAGGATTTGTATTCACATAATTTTTTTGCTTTAAGTCTTTAATCACTAAGTTTGCCCAAACCTTGTTCCCTTTAGTATTTACTTCCTGTATATCCTCTTCTTCTGATTTCTCTGTTATCCAGCTTTCTATCTCTTTTAACCTCTTTCCTATTCCGTGTTTTTACTGGAGACAGTTTAGTCATCAAGGAATCAAAGGTTTTGTGCTCTCCATAAATATAATAAGGAATTTGGAAAAGTGTTTCATGGTGTTATCTGATGTTAAACTGATCGGACTTCTTTCTGCAGATTGATATGGCTGCACATCGTCCTAAATTCAAAGCAGCTTTATAAAAGTGTGCTATAAAGAAATAACAAACCTCTGGATATCAAGTATTCAACCAAGCTGCGTAATAATGAGTGATAACTGCTTCCGTACAGCAATAAGGGCATCCAGATAGATACACAAAATAACACACGTAGTTTAGGAATGTATTCTAATTAAGATTGTTCACAACATAGCCTATAGCCCATTCCACTTATAGCCAAGATCATAATAACTAAGTATTGTGTGTGTTATCATATCTATGTATTATAATTGATCCTCTTTCCTAATACTAGTGCCTCAAAGTAAAGAGGCTGATCCTTCACCTAAGAAGACAGAAGAAGCCAAGCGATTACAAGCAGAGAGTCCTAAACCTGTGGACAAGCCAAAGGGAGATACAGTGAGTTTATTACTTTCTTTTAAGATAATCATAGAAATAATGGGCAGAACTGGAAGAAGTATTTAGATCTTATACTTAAAGAAAATGCCCTAAACATTTGTAAATGTTGTTTAATTTTTAGCAATACCCTTGCTATTTTTACAATCCTCCCTATCCAGTCTGTAGAGGATGAGCTGCAGTCTCAGTTCAGTGCGTATGAGAAGATCCAGGAGCAGGTGGAGCACATCCTGCAGCACTGGGACCGAGCCCAGAGCTTGTTGCTGCTCCCGCTCCCCACTGAAGAAGCCCCCCTGTCGTCAGAGGACACCGCAGCAGAGAAACATGTGAGTTTGCTGACTGTCGATTTAGATTTGTCTATTACAGTATGCTTCAATACAGACATATGTATTTGTGTATGCTGACCCAGAAGTTCGCATCAGAAGGGCTCGACTAAAAGCATAAGGATTTTCTTTGTATTTCCAAATACTGCAGACATTTTTTTTTGCTCTTTGGCAAACTCACAATGATTCCAGTTCATCGGCTTACCACTCTGAAATAGAGAGATTTGTGGAATCGTGTGATTTTAACCATCTTGTGCTGAATGTGAAGGAGATGGTGTGGGACCCAAAGGCAGTGGGCGACCTTAGGCCGGTGGTTATCCACCATGAACCCATAGCTCCTACAAGTACCTTGGTGTCCATATAGATAGTACACTCAGCTGGAGGGTGCATGTTGAAGGTCTGTGCTCTAGACTTCAACAGCGGTTGTATTTCTTGCGTAGACTCTGGGCTTTCGGAGTCGAGCAGAGGTTCATGTTACTGTTTTATCATGCAGTGTTGGAGAGCATCATAAGGTATGGTATCACTGCCTGGTATGGTAACTTGACAGTGCAGTCAAAGTCACAGATCGTTCGCCTGGTACAGACTGCTTTGAAAATGATGGAGGTCAAAAAACATCCATCTCTCCAAAACATATATGAGCAGTCCATTATTAGACAGGCACAAAACGTACAACCCAAAATTCCAGCTCCTACCTTCTGGTAGAAGATTCAGGGATCCCAAGAGCAGGCTGAACAGCAATAAGCACTCATTCCTGCCTATGTCCATTAAGCTTCTTAACACTCACATGTGATGTAATATACTTTTAAATGTTGGCCATGAGGGTTGTGCAATAGGTCACCATTGTCAGTCGGTGCGTCTGCGTAATTTGTTGTGCAAACAGTGCATGAGTGATGATATGTGTATGTATTTTAATTTTTATTATGTTTGTATATGTACATGTATACGGAACTGCAGGACAGAGTCTGTTACGTCACCACTAAGATCTACAGTAACACACAACAACCAAGACATGAGGGAGTCAGCGTAAATGTTAACAAAATGTTTATTCCTTTTACAACCAAGAATAGTGACCACAAATGCTCTTTAAGTGAGGAGGAGGAGGAGGAGGAGGAGGAGGACCCAAGTTCCCATCAGCAAAAACTTGTGGGTTTGCTATCCTTGCTCCAAAATGGTGGAATGAGCTCCCCAATGAAATCAGGACAGCAGAAAGCTTACACATCTTCCGGCGCAGACTGAAAACTCATCTCTTTCGACTCCACTTAGAGCGATAGAACTATTAACGAAGCACTTATATACTAATAAAGGACTGGCTTATCTAAAGCCAGTTGAGTAGCACTTGAAATGTTTGGCTCTATGAAACCTGATGTACTTATATGATTCTGTTTTCTTCAAGTTTGTATCTTCCTGGTCGAATGCACTTATTGTAAGTCGCTTTGGATAAAAGCGTCAGCTAAATGCAATGTAATGTAATGTACTTATTACTGCAAGAGCAGGTGGTAAGGACCTCAGACAACTTCAATTTAAAACAGGCTATATGGACAAGTGCCATCAGTTTTAGGCTTGATTGAATAACATTAATTAAGAAATATCGTTCTTAATGTGATACCAAGTCCATCTGAGACNTTCAACCACACCTCGGAGGAGCGCTTTCTCTCCGCCATCTCCGCCGTGTGTGTGTGTTGCTGCATGTAGCAGAAACACAGACAGGAGAGACAGATCTCTCGTCTGGATTGGAAAGATCGAAAATGCATCATAGACGCATTTTGTAGTCTTATTGCATATTACAAACGGAGTTGGCGACACTAAAACTGCAATATAATATTTATGTAGCAATAATACATATGACATATCTTTTTTAAATGTCTCCAGTATTGATAAAAAGACTGATAATGTTGGAGCTTAACGGTACCACGGTCTTTAATAATTCCGCCACGGGCCCGTTTAATACCGGGGCTCGGTACCCATCCCTACAGTAGCTAGAATAGGATACAGTGTGGGTTGAATTTACTGAGAAGGAAACCTACCTTTTCTCTGTCCACCTTGTCTGCGGGTTGGGGAGACTCTGTGTTTAATGCTTTGGTTTCTTCTGTCTGCTTTTGTAAATCATCCGCCTCTTTGCTTTGATGCACTGTAGTAGAGAAAAGGACCATATTTCAGCGATACCAGATTGCAGATATTGAACAATAAAAGTATCTAGCATTAAACAAAAAGGTATTCTGTGCAGTGGCTTTCACCTTCATTTAGATGATGTTGCTCTTTTGCATCAACCAGGGATTCTTTTGAGTTGTTACTGGGAGACATTGTGTTCCCATTCAACCCATCTGTTGACTGGAGAGGAAATAAAACAAATAATTCAAGCAATCAGCGACTGGTATTTTATATGATTATATTGAATATGTATACAGACCTGCTTTCCCTCCAGCAGGCTCTTCTTCCTCGACGTTTCTTTAACATCCTTCTTTCCACCCTTTTTGCTCTTCTTCTTCAACTCTTCTTCTCTCAACCTTTTCATCTCCTCCTGTTGCCTCTGTTCTTCCTCCTCCTTCAGTATATGCTCCAGCTCCCTTACACACAGGCACAAAAAGACACGTTTATGGTATGATTATGACTATTTAGTAAAAGCTGCGTCTAAAACGGGTCCTTAACAGTTAAATAATTGTGAGCTAGACTCGAGAGGGGGCATGGAAACTGGAGGAGATTCTTAAGATGAAGGAATGATTCTTGAGATCTTATTTCCTGCAATATTTCAAAACTTCATGAAAATATCATATTGCTTTTTGTCGAGGGGGCCCGTGCCATGACATTTTCCAGCTCTGATTACTTAAATACGTCATGACTGCACCAGTCTATGTGTTGGGCTGTCTTCCAGTACCTGACTTTCTGCTGTCTGCGGTTCTCTATGTGGTGCCGGGCAATTTGCTCCTTGTCTTCCTCTGGCAGAGCATCATACTCCTCCTCATCCAGCTCCTGCAGCCACTGCTCCTTCCTGTCAGATATCTCTTTCTGCAGAGCCTCTGAAGGACACACACAGACACTTCCACATATATTCTATATTGCCACAAACCGTTCTAAATAGAACATATTTACACAATAACTCTCTGTTCTCTGCAAAATCATTTGGGACTTTTTTTACCCTCAGTTTCTCTCTGTGCTCTCTCCCGTGCCTGCAGGGCAGTGTAGGAGTCCGACAGGTTGACTGTGTAGATGTGTTTGCGGTTATTGAGAGCCTTCAGAACAGCCTGCAGCGTGTTGGCTGCTGACTGAGTGTATACAGACTCCAGGCCGTCCATTACGATGCCACGGTGACAGTCGCTCAGCTGTTATCACCACAGCAGGCCCAGCAGCAACGACAATGAGAAGACAAAGAGAACAAACATGAGATTACACAAGGCAAATACAAATAAAACCCTGCCTGTTTTAGCTATAACACACAATACATACCTGATATGTTCAGAAATAGCTGTGAGCTATTTTGTATATGTTTATGTATCATGTTTTAAAAACAGTCAACTTACCTGAAATCTTTCTGCAAGGACATCAACCAGTAGCTGTTCAGGCAGGAGATTGCAGAGTGTGGTCACATCTCCCCCCTGAAACAAAACCACACCAAATATTTCATTGAATTAAATTTAAACAAAGTATTTACAATGGTACAGTATACAGTATAATACTTTTGTACCTGAAGTTAAAATAGCTTAGTTTAATTCCTTCAATTTACAGAGGAAAACATTTTCACACTTATTTTAAAATGACCAAACCAGGACTACATCAGTTAAAGGTAACATAAGTAACACCAGAACAAAGCAGAGCATTTAATAAAATGTACCAGACAAAGGGCAAAGTGGGTGTTTTCAGTCTCCTGAGGAGCGTTGGATTCATTTTGACTGCAGCTGTCCTCGCTGTTTTCCGCAGTATCAAGTGAAGCTGGAGCTGACTGTGGATCTGGGACAGAGGCTAGAAGATGTGCTGCAGACAGAAGCAAAGGCAGATGTAAATATTTAGTTTCACTGTTATTTGGCAATCTAGACAGAAGGCTATGCTCTTCTGCAGAAGTGTCCTGTGTGACTATAAAGGATTTGTAATGATTACAATCACAATGCTGATAAGTGCATGCACGTCTTTTACTGTTGATCCTGAGCCATCATGTGAAGCGCTTTGTGATTCAATGCTTTGTTTAAGGACATTGGCAGTATGGAAACATAGGCTGCCATCACAAGCCACTTATCTATAATAGGAATAATTAATAACTACATTTGTAGATCTTGTATAAAATGCAGCTCAACATTGAAAAGCTCTTTCAAGCAGTTTATAAAGATGTGGGGGCCTTTTTTTTACTATGCAAACAAAAATGCATTCCCGGAAATCGTGTACTTAGATCCCATTTTCTTGTTTACATTTGTTATTAATTTCTTTGTATTTAGACGTAAAGGGTGATGTTTTTATGTTTTTAATGTGAAGTATGACAAAGCTGGCTGTTTCTGTTATTTTCTCCAAACCGCTTATCATTGCTGTTGTCAATTAACAGAGTTCATATAAACAAAAAAACAAATAAATAGATACATAAGTAAATAAAAACAAACAGCAGCTACAAGTGTTTTACATTGTAATCTTGAAATACCTGCCTGAACTAACTCGAGACTACTGCAATTTCATAAAACAAATACATAATGATAAAAAATGCATTGGTTTTTCACTGCCTGCACTATCTACTCTTCTTACCAGCCTCCTCGGCCTTCTTCTCAGCATACTCTTCAGCAGCTTGATCGTAGAGTCGTCTTGCGGTCAGGCTAACAGGAGAGGTGCCGTTCAGGAGCATCGCTGTCACCACGGCATCAACACTCAGGCTCGCCCCTCCGTAGTGACGGGCCAGAGCAGCCACTGTGCTGTCCCGACCTGAAGAAGGGAAACGGGACACACACACATCACTTTAAGATGTACAGAGCATAGACAGCACGGTGTATATGGCAAATATTTGTGTTTATTGAGTATGGTGAATAATGATTTGCTTTTCTAAGATGACACAACCTACCTGCAAAGCTGTAACACTTAACTATCCCTCTGTCGTGTATTGTGCCATTTGATAAAATGAGGGTAACGATAGACCCCCACTAAATTAAACTTCTCCATATTTGCGGTAGACTGATATTAACGGGAGCTAAGGTAGTTCCTTGTCACATGACAAGTGGTACTAGCTGCTGTTTTCCAAAAGCTGGAATAGCTTTAACTTTGTGTTCGGCTGTCGCTGCCAGAAAAATAGCCGCTTGGGAGCGACGGCGTCTTTCTCGCATTTAAACGCACCTTCTGCACATTGACATTGAACAATAGGAATAATGAGCACGCCCCTTAAAGATGGGCTCAGAACAGTCTCATAATACACACATGCACACAGAAGGATTCCCACTTGTATTTCATGATCCGCAAAAGGATTCACACTTGTATTTCCGGATCCACACTTGTGTTTTTCAATGCACACACAAATGTGTTCCGTTTCATATACATGTAAATAAAATCCAAACGCATAAAAAAGTTTTACATATGTATTTTTTATCCACACACATTTGTTTTCCGTTTAAATCCCCTGAACCTGCAAACACAAACCGCTTTCTGTGCACGGATCGCTGTGCATTCGTGTGTGGGTTTTTTGAGACTCCCCTGACGCTCACCCGATTCGTACTTGTAATTTCTCATCTATAGCCAATCAGATGTCTCCTCCAGTCTAAGCCAATCACATGAGCGCGCCCCCACGAGGGTATGATTTCTTGCGTTCATTACACTTCATGTACGCATTTTGCGCAGTCCGGTCAGCTCTCTAAACAGAGGGCGGAGCATCAGGTGATCATGCAGAGCTGCGTGTCTCCAGCGCAGTCTATATGGCGCTGCGTGTCTCCATCAGACTCAGCAGCTGATCTGATCTCTCTCTCGCGTCCGGTTACACTTCACTCGCGTTTATGTCCATATCGATCAGATCCAGCTCTCCTGATCGGCCTTTATAGAGAGCACCGATCAAACTATTAAGAGTGAATATCGGCCGATAATGACCGGCGGGGCTCCCCCCCGTTGACAGTTCACTGTCTAGCACTGGCCTCGTAGTGCACTGATCGATTAGGCTAAGCTAACCTGTAGCTGCTCCCTCCACACTCACAACAACTTAATAATACAGACATAAATAAAGCAGCTCTGTATTCGCCATACAGGAAACACACATTTAAAACGGTTTTGCCTGCCGTTTTTGTGTAGACACAAGCATTCATCAAGGGTTCAGAAAGTGGCGCTGTACCATAATAATATAAAGGCTTGTATTTGCGTGCATTTCCTGTACTGAGAGTGGAGGTGTCCTGAGATTAGCACCTGCAGGCAGGCTCCATGGACCTGTCAGCTCCGGACTGCGCAAAATGCGTACATGAAGTGCTACGTCATGAACGCAAGAAATCTACCCTCGTGGGGGCGCGCTCATGTGATTGGCTTAGAATTGAGGAGACATCTGATTGGCTATAGATAGAAAAAATTACAAGTACGAATCGGCTGACCGTCAGGGGAGTCTCAAAAAACCCACACACGAATGCACAGCGATCCATGCACAGAAAGCGGTTTGTGTTTGCAGGTTCAGAGGTTTTAAACGGAAAACAAATATGTGTGGATCAAAAATACACATTTAAAACTTTTTTCTGTATTTGGATTGTATTTACATGTATATACATGTAAATACAATCCAAATACAGAAAAAAGTTTTAAATGTGTATTTTTGATCCACACATATTTGTTTTCCGTTTAAAACCTCTGAACCTGCAAACACANAGAGAGAAGAGGGAGAAGGAGAGAGAGAGAAGAGGGAGAAGGAGAGAGAAGAGGGAGAGAGAGAGAGAGAGAGAGACAGAGAGAGGGAGAGAGAGAGAGAGACAGAGACAGAGACAGAGAGAGAGAGAGAGAAGGAGGGAGAGCGAGAAAGAGAGATAGGGAGAGAGAGAAGAGGGAGAAGGAGAGAGAGAGAAGAGGGAGAAGGAGAGAGAAGAGGGAGAGAGAGAGAGATAGGGAGAGAGAGAGACACAGAGACAGAGAGAGACAGAGACAGAGAGAGAGAGAGAGAGAGAGAGAGGGAGAAAGAGAGAGAGAGAAGAGGGAGAAGGAGAGAGATAGGGAGAGAGAGGGACACAGAGACAGAGAGAGACAGAGACAGAGACAGAGACAGAGACAGAGAGAGAGAGAGAGAGAGAGAGAGAGAGAGAGAGAGAGAGTTTAGCAAAGGTACATTAATACACTCAGCGTATTCAAAGGAGTCAAGACTGTCTGGTGGTTTATACACCTAATTAATTACCACGTTAAGGTCAAGCGCAGTTCAGTTGCTCCCTAGTTACTCTTTCATTTGTCCTCAAACTTTCCTAATTGATAAATAAATGAGCAAGAGGGTCAATCAAACAGCAAGTGTATAATTGTATTATAGTAGATAACATTAGAACAACACAAAATGAACACATGAAACAGACCGGCCCCCTTCGAACTCATTGGACCCGACCGTTGGATCATTTTCCGTATCTTTTAGCTCTTCAAAACACAACTAGAATAAGATCCGGTCAGGTCTGCCGTCAGAGAATCTAACGAGGACAAAAAGAGGAACGAATATACAGTAGGTACAGTAAATACAAAAATATGTGTGAAAGAGGAAAATGATACGAAAGATGAAGTCTTATAGACGTGCTTGTCTTTGACTTTATTCTTATATTTCTCCTTTGCTTCATCTCATAACTGTTTCCAATGAAAAAAATATTTTTTATTTGGACTATTTGTGAGTGTGTTTAACGTTAAGTCATTTTCAGGGTGATTTATGAATGATGGAAAACATTGAAAACCATCTTAATATGAATGTAAATTAACATCCTTTTTTTTACTTTCCTTGCAATCATGGTGCTGTGAGATGCAGAAGATTATAGTTTTTATAATTATCTACAGCATTACGTTAATTTCTTCCCACTGCAAGACAAACAGCAGTATCCATTTTGGATGAGAAATGTATCATCATTCTGGATTCTTGCATTTATAACGTTAACGCAACGCAATATAGTTATTATTCTGTGTGTGGCTGACCCCTAAGACCGTGGTGTGTGTGTGAGAGTCAGTGTGTTCTCATTTGGAAGTCCACACGAGTCTTCTTCACATCGCTCCCTGACCTCATAACGTTTTCTATCCAGGTTAAGGAAAACAAGTAAGTAAGTAAAATGTATTTATTAAGCGCTTTTCACAGACATAGGCCGTTTCTCAATCTCGAGGATTCTGGCTTCCAAGCCAATATTTCAAGGATGCTACGTCATCGAGTGCCGCCGAAGGACTGTTCCAATCTCCAGCATACTTGGAATTCCACCGAAGCCGCGTCCTTGGTTTGGGGGTAATTTCGAGGCTGCACATGGGTAGACTTCGCGTCCTTCAAATCCCCACAATGCTTTGCGCACGGACCAATTTCCCCAAATCTGTGGCGGAAAATGTAAGGCGGGGCCTCTCATATGACACATCTGCACACTTGCTAGCCTGTTCCACTCTTCGTTTTCCGAATGCCAGGAAGGATTCTTGCCTAGCTTCTGAAGGAAGTGACTCGGAAGACATGTGCTACCAAGCAAGCGTCCTCGCGATTGAGAAATGGCCACAGTCTCAAAGTGCTTGACAAAACATCATAGGAGTCATAAAAGAATAAATGAGCACACAAGCCACGTGTTAAGAAGTTCTAAAAACACAATACAAACATAGAATAAAATAAAGCACACAGGTTACCCAAACAGGAATGTCTTTAAATATTACCATTTGAGTGTGTGTACACTTTTTTAACGAAGAGGGACAAGAGTCCAGGGTTAGTTAGATTTGACGCTAATTTTTTACGCTTAATTACGCATAATTATTAATTGTTGACATATTAAATCTATTAAGGAAAAGATTAGCTCAGGCCGGATTATATATATATGATGGATATGTCATTATATATATAGTATGTATCATGGGTCAGGTATATTCCGTGTATGCATGTCATATATGAATAGTATCATGATATATATGTCCATCCATATATCCATGTATACTGTCATGTATTATGTTATAATCGTGCCTCCTCACTCTCCGCCCTTTTTCATATGTACTGTATCATAGTATGTATATGGTCCATATGGTGATATAATATAAGGGTGATGTACTATGTCATATGTATATATATCATATATATTATCATTCTACCTCATCTCTGTATATGTATACATGCTGACTATCGAGATAATATCCGGTCATATATCCTTATTATATTGTATGTTATGGTCATGTATATGTATATCGATCACTATTGGATATGGTCATATATTGTATGGTGCATATGTATCGTATATGTATATATCAATTATATATATATGTATGTATATGTATATGATGATATATATAGTATATTATATATATATATGATTGTATGTATATGTATATATATATTGTATATTAATATATATATATATGTATATATATATATGATACTGATGCTGCGGTATGGAGATGAGCCGCATGTATATATATGTTATTATATGTATATGTATTATATATGTATATGTGTATATATATATATATGTATATGTTATACGTCATATATATATATTACTATATGTATATGTTATATATGTGATTTATATGTCATATATGTATTTACTATGATATATTATGGTATATATTATATATATATATATATATATATATGATGTATATATATGCTATATGTATATATGTATATGTATATTATATATGTATGATGTATTATGTCATGTCACCCCGTTGTTTCATAAATCAGTCGGTGGTTGAACACGTCAAGAGGGTGAATTTTCACTCTCCGGACATTAAAAGTTGTCTGCCATATGGAGTTGATGCGCAGCTCCCTCCCTCCTTCTCACGTCGGGACTCCCTCCGGAAAAGTGGTTTGGGTTTGGGTGTGGGGGGGGGGGTGTCTTGTAATAGTCTTCGTCTTTGTGAGTCCTTATGATTTTATTTGAGATGGAAGATACAGAAAAATATATTTAGTAGCATATTTAGTGGCGGGGGAGACCCAGATTGTACAGTCAGATGGAGACAGCGGTGCATTGAGCGGATTCCGAGGGCCGAGGCGGTGCTCGCCAGTCGGCACCGGAGGATTGGATACCTTGCGAGGACGGGAGTGCCAGGGCGACTGACACCTGGAGAAAAT